TCTGTTTGTTGATGCATGATTTTGGGACGGAATCATCCAAAGGAGGATATAACTATAACACCTGTGTTGCAAGCTAGATTAGTCATAGTATGTAATCACTTTGGTCAACTATTGTAATCTTTTTATGAGAAATTAAGAAATGATCATTCATATATTTATGTGCTTATGTGTTTTATATGATGTTCTATGCAAATTATATAAGTATTTAATAATAAAATAAATAAGATCAAAATACGTATCGAAAATAAGAGATTATTTAGGACAAATAATATTAAACTAAGTTGTAGTATAGGTAATAAAGAGTTAGGAGATATAAGGAATGCTCGAGTCTGACTTAGAATGAAGAAGTTATCGTATGTTGAAGTTTCGTGTTAAATCTGATATGGCTATGGATATTGCAAAATAGTGAATCGGAGATAGATCACTTATTAGCCTAAGGGGTCTAAACGAAAGTAGCAGTGGTTGTTAAACCGAGAGCATGTATATAGAGAACATCCAAATCTAACTTCGTATGAGCAAGTTATGCTTTTTCGAAGTTTTAGTACAACAATATACGACTTAGAAACCGAAATTGAATTCAGCCGATTGTTAGGTAAAACAATCTAAACAAGAGTTGAAGATCTCGTCCATACTTATCCGTCAATATAAGGACAGTCGAGAATGGATATCAGATGAGAGAGTTATGATTTTTACACAGACTTTAACAGTCTAAGGTTGTAAAAATATAACTTTAAAAATAAAATCAAAATTAGTCGACATAGTCTAAATGAAAGTTGTATACCTCGTCGATAGCTACATGTGGATAGAAAACCCATCGAAAACGGAACTCATATGAAGAAGTTATGCATTTTTTTTTTATGAAAACAAGAAATTTTGCGCATAGTCGCGCGCACCGATCAGGGGCACAACACGCTCTGGCCCTCCATGGAAATCGTGACAAATGGCACACCTCATAATTTGACACATCATCATGGTCAACCATAAGCGTGATGCGCATGGAGCAGAGGGCGTGATGTGCCTTGTGTTTTCAGCTATATATACATACATGATTTTTCTTCATTTTTTCACTCATCTTTTCCTATTCTCTTTAGAGTATGGTTCATTTGGGAACAAGAGTATGATTCCTACAAGGACAAGAGTAAGATTCCTTTAGGAATGATTTTATGTCCTTGCAGGGAAAGAGATGATGAGATGCAGATAAATGGCTCCTACAGGCATCTAGATTGTGTATTTTTAGAGGAGACAAAGAAATGTTCCTTAAGAGGAACAAGATAAGAGAGTTCTTTGTAAGAACTTAGATATAATCCAAGTGGGATGAAGAGTAATGAATCCGCAAGAGATTCAAGAGGAGAAGGAAAGATTAAGGATCCACGAGGGATCATAAGAGAGAAGAGTAAGATCAGATGAGTGTACCGGCAATGTTAGTGAGATTTTTTTCCCTTAGAAGATAGATGATATTAGAGTATGAGATGTGACAGTTGGTTCTAGATGGGAAAAAAAGTTGAGACATTAGAGAAGAGAAATAGTAAAGAAGAGATAGAGTAGAGAAGACAAAGTGAAAACAAGAGACAAAGTATAGAATAAAAAGAATAGAAGAGAAATAGCAGATAAGAGAAAGAGTGCATAATAGATAGAGTATGTGCAGAGCCTCAGAAAAGGCTAAGAAAGATTAAGAGATGAAAAGAGAAGTATATAATAAACAGTTTAAATGACAAAGAAAGAGATATATATGAAATGAGAAAGAGTAGAAAGAAAGATTAAAGAAGAAAGATAGAAGAGATAGATGAAAGAAGAAAGAATAGCAGTATATGCTATTAGAGAAATATATTAGATCACATAGTATGAGAAAGAAGAGAAAGAAGAAATATAAGAAAAGTAGAAAGAGTAACTCATGAGACATGTTTGTCTGATGTAGTAGAGATTTTATGTTTTGCAGGTTTAAGTAGTAGCAGCCATGGTACCGGAAGAAAAGACATGAACATAATGACATGAAATAGATTGTTGGATGTTATTTGTGTATTTCCTTGTTTATTTAATATATTAGAATTTTATTGTAGACCCATGATTTTTCCTAGGATGTAAAGTGTTTTAATTTGCATAGAATTCCTCCTTTATTAGATAAAACTCTTATATGTCTCTTAGATTAGATGTTCGAAAATCTAAATTGCTATAGCAGACCTCTCATTTATTTTATGCGGATGATGTTATTTTTGTGGGCTTGGACTCAGAAAAATGTTACTAACATTATTCTTATCTTACAATGTTTTTGTTTGTCCTCGGGATTGAAGATTAACTTACAAAAGTTTAATATTTATGGCATTGGGGTGAATTATAGTGAAGTTGTGCAGATGACAGAGATTACGGGTTGCTTATCGGTGAAAATTGCATACATTTACCTATGCCTTCATGTTGGTGAGTGTATGATACGTGTGGTTGCTTCAAAGACCGTTACTAAGATATTTCAGAAACAATTATCATCTTAGAAGGTAAAAACGCTCTCTACTGGTGGTCTTTCAAACCTTATTAAATTGGTTCTAGGGTCTCTTGGGATGTTTTATATGTTTATTTTTAAAATGCCAACATCAGTGAATAAAAGTTAAAATGTTTGCATGCTAGATTGTTTTAGGGTAGATCTTCTTACAAAAAGAAAATTAGTTTGGTTAAATGGGATCTTATGCTTGCTTCGAGAGAGAAATGAGGTTCGTATATTGGTAGTTTAATGGCTCTCAAACATGTTTTACTATATAAATTGAAATGGAAACTTTTAATGATCAAAGTTTGTTGTGGGTTAAGGCTTAGAAAGCTATTCCTGGCTATAGTTTGGAGTGAATTTGGAATTTGAGAAGGGAGATTAGGGGAGGGGCCGAGAATGTTCAATTTCCAGAGTTGGTGGATTGTATTGGTCCCATGGTGTTCACTGTTCACAGATAGGGAAGAATTTTGGCGTTTGAATATTGGAAGTTATGATGGCTATGGGGTTAGTGATACGAGAAGGGTTATGTATGATTATCACTTTCGAATGCAAGTATTTCAATAAGATGTAATATGTACATTCCAAAAAAGTAAACATTTTGTGTTGGAGGATTCGGCTCAATAGATAGTGTCATGGTTGTGCTGCGAGAAAAATCATGAAGATGTTACACACACATTCCTTACGTGTGAGATTGTTTTAGCCTTATGGTTTTTGGTGGCGAGATGGTGTGAGTTGCAGGTCTTGATCTTTAGTGAGGTTGATGAAATTTTCGATAGGTCGACACTATGCTTTTTACATTGAGTAGAAGAAAGGGGATGAAAGCTATTATTTTGACTCTCTTTTGGATCACATTGAGATTTCGTAATAATATCATTATTGGATCAAATAGCATTAGAAAAGATTCATTAGGTGAGTTGATTTTAAAAAAAAATTTTAAAAAAATCCTTTTAATAGTTCGAGTCGATAAATCATATGTTTAAAGGCAACTATTCTAGTTGGCTTAAAAACTTGTTGTTAGCCATTCCCTTGTAATTTGCTTGTGAGTTCTCTAGCATTCTTGTTTTTATATATTTATATACATGGAGCTGTTAAAAAAGTGAAGCTAAATGTAGCATTATTATAAGATGATTATTTACATATATAATTTTGATACAACTAAAAAGAAAAAGGTGTAAAGATTCGTTGTGAGTGATGTGGGTGTCTAACACATGATTCAATTCCCCCCATGCCGTAGAAAACTTTTTATTGATTTTGTGTAAAGATGAAAGATGCCATCGTTAGGAGTTATAATAATTCACTTGGTGGAGGGCTACCCTACCCTTTTTTCTTATAAAGAAGAGGCCAAATGTTTGAATCCCACCACCGCAAAGTAAACCCCTTTTCCTCATACTTTCAAAAAGTCTCTTTTATTAATCCTCCAAAGGTAAATATAGTGTCCTTTCAAACCAATATCAACTTACCACCATCTCTAAAAAAAACACCAAAACAATAAAATAAAAAAAATAAAAAAAATAAAAAAATAAAAAAAAAGACTCATATTGGTTACGGGTCTTAAAATTACTTTCATAAAAAGTCTATCACCATTAGTTGTTTATAAAAGGGATACATGCAATTCTTATTATAGTAAAGGTTATCTTTTAGACGATGTTAAACAGCCCCACACCACGTTGTCTCACGAGTATCATTATATCATGTGATTATATGATATAAGTGGGTCTAAGTCACAATAAACTTAATTCCTATTTAGATTAAAAGTTTTAACTGTGATTGTTAAGTTCAAACTCTCAATTTTCAGTAAATATATCACCCCATGACCAACTATGCAGTAGAACCCTATTGTGCTTTGGGATCCATTCATAAAAATGTTGTTAATATGCCAATATTTAATTGGTTGATCAAAGTTATAACGAGTTAGATATGATACAAATCGAAGATTGGTTGTATACAATTGATAAATGCATGTGAACTTTTATGTTTTATGTGATTTCTTATATGTTTTTGTTTTTAAAATCTAGTAATTGTGAAATTTATATTAATATTGTTATGAAGTTTTGGTTTAGGCCACTCTAGTTCTAATGCAACGTTCATGTAACACAGTACTATACCCTAGAAGCAATATATATCACTCTATACTATTATTATAATCAAAACTGTTTTCTATCATTCAAACTATTTTGTGTAAGATTATTGTAAGTTGCTTTTAATAAAAAAAAATACTATTGTTTTGCTTTCATCCCAAAGTAGCTTTTCCTATTAGCCCGCTAACTAATGAGAATTCATTCACACTAATACGACAACAAAATAGTCAACAACCCATGAAAACTTTACATCATATTTAATTAAAACCCTTAAATAATTACACCAAAAGAGATACAAATACGACAAACAACCAAAACTAGCCAACAAAAAAACAAGAACCGAAAACGATTATGAAAACACATAATTCCATTTTGCCATCAATCCTAACCTTTTTCCTAATATAATCACTAACCCAAAGGAGGAAAAAGAAAGAATTAAATTTCCCTTATTATCCTCCTATTTGTTTCCTCTCTTCTAATCTATCTCCTTCCTTGCTTTCCTCATTTCTTGAAAATGTAGACATCAAAAGATACAAAAACATTGGGAGATGTGAGGAGCATGATCCTTACATTAAGGGAAAGAGGTCAAAAATTCCATATTCCAATTGTGTTGGGAGTCTTCATAAGATTTTGTCCCTCAATCTTAAAAACATCACTTCTTCTTTCCCATGATTTTGACTTACAATCCAAGAATGATGTAGTAGACCAAAGTTATAGGCAAGGCGATCAACATTCCGAAAATAACCCTGAAAAATTCGTTAAACATATATCAATATCCGATAATACAAATTAAATCATGTTTTTGTTTTTTTTTTTTTTAATTCAAAGACGTTTTCCTAGTCAAAATGTACAAATTTCAAAGTAGATAGAGACCCTTTGATATTTCGTTATCAGTTTCAATCATCTTTTATAATATTCTCTACGCATAATTACATGTAAACATCACCTTTACAACACATTATTTTTATGATTAAATATATAAAACGAATTTATTATAATTTAAAAAAATGGTTTTTTGAGATATCCATCAAGTAATATGGTCAAACTTTTTATACTTACGCAGTACTAAGAATTGCTGGATGAACGTTGTACTCCTTTGCAAAAACAAAAGGGACAATTCCTTGGGGCAACGCAGCCTGTTAATTTAAATAAATAATGTAAATATCAAAATAAACTTAAAAAAAAAGTTAAAAAATAACATTTAATACTTAATGTCAAAATTAAAAAGTTATTTCATGATATAAAACTTAAATAATGGCTCCAAAATTTAAATAATTAATTAGACAACATTAACACAAACTTGTAAAAACAAGTACTATAATTTCCTAACGATTAAAATAAAAAAATTATGTCACAATATAATTTAAACTAACAAAATATAAACAAAATATAAGGTGAAGGTTAGTGGCTTAAAAAGATTAAAATAATACTATAATAATGACTGAAAATGAAATGTAGGTAAAGAGTTGGTGACATATATATGATTACCTGTACAATTGCGACATGGAGAAGATTGCCACGCAGGCCGACGGCGATAGACGCCGCCGCCATCACCGCCGGTCCCGTCAGAAACCTCACCGCCATTGCAAATGAAGCAACTGAATTCCCACATGCTATGATTTTTGGTTGAAGTGCCATAAATAGTCCTTCAAAATACAAAAACCAGATAATAAATAACATATCTATAGATCAATTACAAACTATAAAAAACTAATATATTTTAATTATTTATGATTTTATTGTAGCATAGTATTAAATTAGATAAAAAAAGTAATAAAAAAAAGTTACTTACCTAAGCTAAACATAGCCATTCCAAGACCAGCATCCGAGAGTATTGAGATCGACTTACTAATTATGACGGGCATTGCCAAATGCCACCTGTAATAATAAAATAAAAAATATATTTATTTTAAATAAAATCTTATCCTTTTCTGGAAAATACAGAAAGTCGTTAAAAAATTCTGAAAGTATGAAATATGAATAAATGTGAAATTGTATAATCGTATAATAATAAATATTTTAATTTAATACTCTGACTGACATGTCGGATTACCTGAACGACACGAGAGACCAGATTAGACCAATCAGACTGGAGTACGTGTTTGGGTTCCTGATCAATTTCCGCCAAACCATTATCAATATCAATCGGGTCATCACACTCGCCGGCGGCATCTGTTTTCCAGCACCACCGTCGTCCATCGAGACACCCTTGGGGTGGAGCTCCGCCGTGGAGCTTGAACCGAGTTTGTTGAGTCCGATTTGAGCTTCTTTATCCTTATCATCATCTCCATCTCTATCTCCACCGAAAGTGAAATCTTCTCCCCCCAATGCATCTACAGTACCCAACAGATTCATCAGTTTTGATTCGAAAAATATCATAAAAAGATTTGAGATTTCATGGTTTTTAAGGATTTAATTAATTACCTTTGGTTTCACCGTTTTGGTGGTGATCGGAGGGGACTAACATCCTGATCTCCTTCGCTCCACCCTGTTGATCTGCACCTGCACGACCCGGCTGCTCCGTCGTCGCTCCGAAATCATTACCGCCGAAGACGTGAAGCCCGCCGCCCTCGGACACCGGGGAAGCACTGGAGCTCCAGACGAACATGTGAAGCTCTTTAGCGTCATGATTAGTTTTATTTTGAGCGCCATTTTGTAACGGTTGTGGCTGCGGTTGTGTCAGGGGTTGTTGACTTTTAGCAGTCTTCGTAACCGATGAAGTGATTTCCGGATTCGGCGCCGGATAAGCTGCCGGAACTGTCTGCGGAGCTGGGTAAAATCCAAACCTCGGAGAATTCATATTCAGAGGTCCCGGAGCTGTACTCTCCTCGAAATTCGAAGGTCTGGGTGTCGGACCTCTTGATGACTGAACTGAATAAGCATCCGCCGGACCGAAGTTCGATAACCGGCCACCGGGAAACCCCATCATGGAGTAGAAATCCGAGTGATTAAAGTTTGAACCTCTGGGAGTCGGGTTTCTCGACGAGCTTAAACTGTAAATCTCAGCTCCGGTGAGATTCGACGGCCGGGGAGTCATTGAACCAAGCCCAAGAGATCTCCTCGACGCGTTTGATTTTCTCACAGTCACATGAAGCTTCCCGTCGTTCCCGATCTCCGCATCGGTTTCCAGAAAATCATGTCCGTCAAGCGAAACGACATCAGACTCGACCTTGAAAGAAACAATGGAAGCTGCCGTTTCCGGGAACTGCTCCATTATCAGCATCTTCGCGCCACGATATTCAAACAAGAACAGAAGCAGAGTGTACCATATAATACACTGCAACACCACCACTTGCACCATTAAAGATCCTGAATACTCACCATACATAGCAATCAACAACGGAATCCCCATAACCAGTGTATTGGGAAGCGTCGAAAGCGAGAAAATCGTTATCATCCATTCCAAACTCCCATTCTTGGTAAAATTAGCCCACAAACCGAGCACCACCAGCATAATGATTTTCTGAAGAGTGTCGGCGGCGATGAAGCGGAAGTTCATAGCGTAAGGATTGTTCATGGATATAAAATGGAAAGACAGCAAAGGGACGGCGAAAATGGCGACGAAACGGTTGATTCCGGAGCACTGGTCGGGGGTGAAAATCTTCCACCACCGCACACTGCCGTAGGCGAGTATCATGGCGACATACAACGGCACCATGGCGGACATGACGGTGTAGAAATCATGGCCGGTGATCATTTTTTTTCAGATAAAGATAGATAGGGTAGGGGAGAAGTGAAAAACCGTTATCCTTTCTGACAGATTTTGTTACTGAGAGATTTACGGCGGATTGAACAGAAGACAGAGACACAAGTACAAGAAAGAGAGAATTAGGAAGGGAGGAGGGGACTGAGAAGTGTATATATAGGCAAGAGTGGAAAGGAGGTAGTGTGACTGTAATTATTTTATCTTATGAAAAAAAAAAAAAAAAAAAGAATGTAATCTACCATATCAAAACGGAAATTTTAGGATTAATTTATTTATATATTGTTTAGATCCCAAGATCGTTTTACGTTTGATATGGTAACTTGTGGTGTTTGGTTTTTGTTTAGAAGTTTTTATAACCTTTTATGTATGCGGACACTAATACGTTTTGGTTTTCAAAGTCTTTGTTATTTAGAAGATCGTAGATGTTAAGACAGGGGCGGATTTATAGTCGTGTTCGGTCTTGCACCGGCAACACCTATTATTTCTGTACGCGTTGGAAAAAAAAATATTTTTTAACCTATTTTCCAGCACCGACAACACCTACATCAACTCGGCAATACTTGTTATTGATTCCTACGTCCCCCCTGTGTCAAAACGTTTGCTCATCCTCTTTTCCTAGAAGACATCGACCAAACACTTCTAGGTAGGGTTGCTTTTTGTTTAGAAACTCTTTTAACCTTTTATGTTAGTGAGCGGAGGTAAACGTTTTTGGTTTTTGGACTATTTGTATTTTAGAAACAATAGACGTCAAAACCTTTGAGCGTAGTCTTTTCCTTAAAATACACCGACCAATCACCTCTAACCTAAAACAGATGGCTACCTTGTTTATTCATCCTTTTCTACCATGTTTTGTTGATCACTTTCATCATTCTCCATTGTTCCATTTCTACTACTCCGTAGGACCATATGAAGATTGACGCCCCTGTTGACACACCAGGCTGTCGGCGAAGTTTGTGTCTTCCCGATGAAATACGATTACAGAGAAAGAACATAATCTTGACGCTTTAATCGCATACAAATCATACCATAAATTTATAGTTTAGTGATTTCTTCATAATCACGACTTGTACTCATAATATTCAATCTCATCGGCAGAGCTTGACATTTTACATGTTCAAATAAATATTGGTTCATAGAGTGTTTCCTTGATCATCTTATTCGTCACCAACATAAAAAAAAAAAAAAAAAAAAAAAAAAAAAAAAAAAAAAAAACAACTTATTTATGGCGGCTTACTTCATAGACTCATATGGATTCCATCAAGATGTAACAATCCTCAAAATTGTCACCAATTGTTGATCCCAAACCCAATGAACATCAAATATAATAGATTAAATATATAATAGTTGACAATGTATAATGAAAATATAAGATTTCGTATTCTAATATATAAGAAAAATCAATCAAATTGTCCGTAAACTATAAAAATAAGTGCCCAAAAAGTTGTGTTATTTTACACATACATCTCCTTGATTACGAAATACAAATTCCATAAAAATCTGATTTCGTATGGAGAAATTATAATTTTTCTAAATTATTTATTTAGCCCTATAACGAGGGGAGCGTCGTAAGTAGCTTAAAGGAGATTGGTTGAGTTTTAGCCAAAACACCCAAAATGAGAATCATAGTATTCCTTGATATAAGACATTGGACGTAGAAAACGTCAAAAATGGAGTTCATATGATAAAGTTGTGATTTTTATAAAATCATTTAGAGTAACCTCATTATAAAAATACGGGCTAAAAAATAAGTCAGAATTATCTAATACAATCTAAAAGAAAGATGTAGTATTAGTTGATAGCTACGTGTGGATATAAATAACATCGAAAACAGAGTTCATATAAGATGCGACACCACAGAATTCGAACACATGTCACGAGCCAACACCGAGGGCTCGACACGCTTGGTCAATTTTCGCTATAAATAGCAGTTCAATTCTCAGTTCTCGACACTTCAAAATTCATCCATCGGCTGAATTCCTTCTCCCTCATTTTTTTGAAAATGTTCTCTTTAAAATTTTATTTAATTATTTTTCCTCGAGCCTCGAATCTCCTAACGCAACAGCCACGACATTCGGAGCCACTTAAAGCACACTTTAAAAATGAGCCACTTAAAGCGCATGGGGAATACATGTTAAGTATTTCTTATGTAATTATCATTTATCATTATATTAAAAATCAATATTTTATACATAGTTGTTATGCTACACAAATTTTTGACATATCGTTACTCTACTTAATTTTGCGGGTATTATTATAACTGGTCGATATTCTGTCCAAATTTTATAAATAGCATTGTAACTAACCGTTACGATGCCCAAAATTTATGAAAAACTTTGTAAATAGTCGTTACCATGTCCAACTATTACGAATAGCATTGTAATCGATCATTACTTTGCTAGGATTTATATGGATAGTTTCAATATCACGTCGTTATATATATATATATATATATATAACACCTAGTTCCCGGTACGTACTCCTTGCTATTTATTTTCTTAAAATAATATATTTTTGGCTTGGACTCGGCGAGTTGATGGGTCAACTCGCCGAGTAGGACTGGGACTAGGTACGAGAGTTGGACTCTGGACTCGGCGAATCGGTCCCCGAACTTGGCGAGTACGCCCTGGTTGGGCAAAAACCCTAATCCGAGTGTTTGCATCCAATTTAAACACTCTATATTGGCCTCCTTTGTCCCTAACACTTCCAAAGAGCATTAGAGTGAGACCCTAGCCCCCCATATTGTTCTTAAGAGTGTTTTTGGCCTTGTGAAGGAGGTTGGAGCTTAGAAGAAGAAAGAGGTGGTTGAAGAAGTGCAAGGAAAGGAGTAGATCCGAACTCCACTCAGGGAAAAGCTTCCATTCAGGTAGAAAAGTCTCTACCTTGATCTTTAGATCATTAGTTACCATTTTTGTCCAAAATGGGTGGTTTTCAAGCCCTAAAACACCAAACTCCATGTGTGGTGCTTAATGATCCGAAAGGACTTCTGATATGGACTTATTGGATGAATTAGTAGCATAAAGTTCATGTGGTTGAAGTGATTGAGGTCCCCATTGAGTCTATGACCTCTTGAAGAGTTTGGTTTTGACCTTTTGAGCTTATAGGGCTATGCATGCACGTAAAGTTTGCAACTTTACATGATAAGCATGCTCAAGGAACATGGATCTATGGTTTTGAATCGTTGCATGTCTCAAATTTGGCCTATATGGGAAATGGGTCACAGGGACTCGGCGAATCCCAAGGAGGAACTCGGCGAGTTCCATGAAGATGGCCTTAGACTCGGCGAGTTGGATGAACAACTCGGCGAGCCCTATGAAGATTGCCTGGAACTCGGCGAGTCCTATGAAGATTGCTGGAACTCGGCGAGTTGTTCTTCAAACTCGGCGAGTCGGGTCACGAGTTGGTTCAATCGTCCTAAGTCATGAGTTAAGGGTGATTCAGTGAGTGGGAAGAAGGACTGGTTGAGTAGGACCGGGTTAGTAAGAAAAGGACTCGGCGAGTCCAGTCAAATGGATATTGACTTTGACCAAGGAGTTGACCTTGGTCCAAGGGAGGGTCAGTCTTTTGACCTAAGGGTATTTATGGGTGTCTAACATATGTTTATGGTTTATAGCCGGAGGATTTGCGATCCAGCAGTTAGACGCTCAGCAAGCAGACTTCAGCAGCTACTTTCGAGGTGAGTTACCTTCTAGTAGCGGTGGGTCTAAGGCCACAATGTCAGCCCACCAGTAGGAGACGTATGATAGATGATTGTCTTTGTGATATCATCTAGGTTTGCTACTACCTAATATGTTATATGCTAGCATGATATGTTGTATGTGATAGTAGTAAGGTTCGGTTGTTAGGACCAAAGGGTAGTCAGACACCCCAGACACGTCTGATAGTATGTGATTATATGTTGCATGCTCGCTTGTTATGTTATATGCCATAGAGGTAGTAGGAGGGGACCAGTCCCCGAGTTCGGTTGATAGGACCGAAGGGTAGTTCAGGCACCCCAGATATGTCTGATAATATGTTATGCTATGATATATGTGATAGTAGCAGTAGGGGGTGAAATAGTCCCCAAGGTTCGGTCGTTAGGACCGAAGGGTAGTCAACACCCCAAAATGGCTTGACATGGGTAGTCAGCACCCCAGAATGGCTGGACACGGGTAGGTCGGCACCCTAGAATGGTCGTACCGGGTAGGTCGGGCATCCCAGAAATGCCTGGCAATATGTATGATATGTGATTGTATGGTATGTGGTATGATGGGGGAATTCACTAAGCTTCGTGCTTACAGTTTTCAGTTTTGGTTTCAGGTACCTCTTCTTCGAAGGGGAAGGAGCTGGCGTGGTAGCAGCACATCACACACACGCTTTGTATTCCACACTATGAGATCTTCCTGGGGATTTGTACTCTGATTTTATTATGTTTTTTTTTATAAACTGGTTTCCAGACACGCACATCTTTTATGAAATGATATGATCGGTGAATGTTTTATTCTAATGTTTTGCTAAGTATGTGTATTTAAAAATGAAATTTTTGGCTCGTACTTTCGGAATGTTACAAGTTGGTATCAGAGCCCTGGTTTGAGGGATTCGGACACACCTTCGGGGGTGTCTGGACTCAAATCGAGGGATTAAGATAATTTGAAAAAGAAAATGTTTTCTAAGAGTTCTTTTTAAGAAGAAACGAAGTGTGTGATGTGCGCGACCGGCCGAGCTCAAGTAAGTATTCTCCAATGTACCCATACGAGTTTATATACGTTTACCAGTTCCTGTGAAACAACATGCTAGAATAGGACTAAGGATCTAGGAGTGATGCCTTATGTGCCTGCTTTATGTGCCTCAGTATATGAAAATTGCATGCTAGGATTGAGTAGACAGCAGTAGGATAGCCTGTTTAGGTTATGCCTGATAGCATGAGCTTAGCATTGTATGCTAGTATAGTTTCCCATTATGAGGATGGAGTTGCTTGAGTAGCCTCCTATGTCTGAATGCTACTTGCTTTATGC